CAAAACTGATTCTTGGTTTTCGCTATGCAGTCAGATTTAGGATGGCAGTATCAAGTATAAGCCAGTTAAAGTTATCCGTAGACAAACAGGTATAGTTATGACAGAAACAAAGGAATTACCAGATTGTACGAAATTTCCGAAGATGATGAAATCGTCAAAACTTCTGGAAGGTGAATTAACACATTTACTTTTACGACATTAATTTCAAGTAGCGTATTCTATTTATGATCTTGCCCCATCCCATTTTTTGTGTATGATGAATTGTACTACTTATAAAATATCCAGTAATCAGTTTTAATTTTAATAATCTTTTAACATAGTTATATATATATATATAATATACCCTTGTGGGCCAGGGTAATTTTACATTGGTTTTCAGGAGAACCAGACACCAACCGGACTTTCACGTAAAAACCCAAACAGTGCAGCTCAATCCCGTTTAGCAGAGGAACCAGACACCGTACAGGCTTTAACGCTACAATCTGAATAGTACAGCTCAATCCTGTGGCGCAACCACACATGTACCAAGAACCCTGGTGGACCATTCGCACCATTCATATACACACTCACATCACATGTATAGTTATTCCGATCAATGATCGCGTGATTCAATTATGCACAGCACGAACAGGCCAAAGTTGACCTATTCCGCTTACACGACAGTCAAACTCGTTAATATTAGCAATGGCGACATGCTTTACAATGTCCCAATGACAATGGCCCTCGGGAACACTGACAAGCAACCACCAGTATGAATGAAATCGGTTAACCAGCAAACCAATTTTTGCATGAACAGTCAGCAAAACTTACCAAAGCAATGCCGAACCGTCCACAATAACAATGGCGAACCTCCAGCCTCATATGAGACCTTCAGCTCTATATAACCATATAGCTTATAGTGCATACAACACATGTATAGGGTAGTAAGCGAAATAGCCCAGCCTGAAGCGTTAGGGCTTAAATAACGCTTAAAACCCATTGTCTGATGTCGGAATACTATAATTAGACCACCAAGATCGTTTTTATCGCATTTGCGAAAATTTCATTTTTCCAACTTCTCAGACCCTGAGTTAGGGGTAGTATCCTTATCTTTTAACATATGTTGTTGTATATTACCAAGTATCTACATAAACTGTCAATGTTCAGTTTATTTTATTGTTATCATAATTGTATATCCCTGAAAAGAAAACTGGCAATAGTTTCCTTCGTTGCTACTGTATTTATTGAACAGTTGTTCCATTGTACATACTTTTCATCTTAGTGTTTCTTCTTATTATGGACTATTATCTGCCATTGTAGTCACATAACAACTGTTAGCTATTATATAGGCTTTTGTATGTTGTTGTAATTAACCTTTAAATATATATATATATATGTATCCATTTCACCAATATTCTTTATTTGGTTCATTACTAGTACAGTAAACACCATATATACCTTATGGAATTAAGGTTTGCAAATGATATTCCATATAAATTCACTTATTATTGTTTGTTTGAATCTTCCCAAGGATGTTTAGCATTACAATTGATCAGTCACTTATTAGTATATGTACATCCTGTGAACATTGCCTCGATATAGCCTTAAGTCACAACCATTCTAAGCAAACATGGATAGTGGGTAGCAATCGAATCTAGGACACGCGTCTCGTCCTATTTGGGACACCTCAGCCGGACGTACCTGTACCTCAGAGATGATGTTCACTGCGAGGCTTCAAATCTAGGGTGCAGGTACATCTAGCTAACGAATCCCAAACAGGACGAAACGCGCGTCTTGAATTCCATTGCTAGACACTATACATCTTTGTATATAATCCCTGGATATTCCAGATATTTTCGTAATAATAGTTCGTATTTCATATAAACTAAGCATTTTTGATCCCTGGCTTTTATGAATCAGTTGATCGTGTAACCAGAAGCTTTGATAGGACGTAGTAGTTATTTTTACACTGCACTAAATATAAGCTTGAATTTAAGTTATTAACTACAAAAGTAACCCACCTATTGCTTTGTTGGGCCTCGTGTTACGTATGCCAAAACACTGATTACCACGACGTGCCATCCTGACTAGTCTTGCGGATGGTTGGAAGAAAATTAGGGGCAGCCATACCGAAAAGTGGGATCAACTTAAAAAGCCAATAACTTCTAGTGTGAGCCATGTTGGTGGTAGATGCATACTCCTTGTTTGGGGTCTGCACGACTATCGTAACCTGTAGTTGGAGATTCTGGGTAATATGGCTCCGAATCGATCACAATGGTGTAGGTGTAAACACTCTTTGTCTTCTCTTAAACCATGAGATTGCATTACTTTATACTTTTCTGATATGTGGGCGAGAATGATAATGATTGGATTTCTGATTAGTCAGACATGTAGATAATCTGACAGATATCAGATGAGTTATATATTCCCCTATCCTTATTATTATTACTACTCACTTATTATTGATTGTTTATTGTTGTTGGATTGTGTCGGGTTTTGGTGTGGAAATATATTTACGTTGTGGTCAGGCTATTCATGTGTTCTTGATCTGAGTTGTATTGAACTACTTTAGAATAGGCACTGGAAGGGAATCTAGTGTAGATATTTGATCTAAGTTGAATTAACGTCGCATACGTGTAAATGTGGGAAACCAACCGTCATAACATTAGACGAAGTAAAACCAATCGTTATAACACTTTTTTCTATGAATTAATTCTTTCTCCCTGTATCCTAGCATTCTATTCAATCTACTTTTGATATATTACTACTATTGTAGTAACTACTTCCATGAAGTTGGTGTTCATCTTGTTGTGCTAATAATGTGTGGCAACTTTGACAAATGCATATATGTGCCTGATCCTACATTGTACATCACTGACTGACTGATTGCCCTGTTTTGTATCACTTAAAACCTACTTATGTACAAACTATGATTTAGTTTGTTTTGTAATGATGTGTAAACATTCGATTAATGCGTATGAACCTATGAGTTTTTAAGTCATAGAAGACTTTTTTTGTCACCTAATTGACTATCGAGAGATCTCGGATCAATAAGAATTAGGATCCCAATCAAACTATTGATCAAGTGAAGTTCATTGGTTATATTTAAGTAAAGTGAATTAGTTTTAAGTAGACTCAATGTTACCCAATGAAACGGGAAATATAGAACATGTAGTTTTTATACTAATGTGGTGTATGCTACTGATATCGACAGATATAAGTAGTATATATCATCAAACGAAAATGAAATACCTGGTAACAGAAGGTTAAGAAGACTCAGATTCAGTAGAACGTCCTCATTAGTCATCATTAAAGTATTCAGAAAAGTCGTTTGACAAATCAATTTTGTTGTATAGTTTTATCATTCAACTTTAAAGCTACATTGGTGACATTTTTTAAAATATTCTGTCTCCGCTTAAGCCAAATTGAAACTAGAAGAAACTTTTACACTGTCTAAACAGTATACAAAATTAGTTCATTTGGTAAATTTAACATTTCATATACTTTTGTGGTATGTACTACTGATATTGATAGATATAAGTAGTATGTACCATCAGTTAAAAGTGAAATCCCTGGTGGTAGAAGGTTAAGAAGTTCGAAAAAAAGCGAATGAGAACAAAGAATGATTGGTATGAAAATGTAAGAACAATGAAGTTTGAGACGATTAGTTTATATTTTTCATATGAAATATTCACTGTATGATTCACAGATTTTACGAAGAGATTCAAATACATTTGATTATTATTATCAGAATGGGTTTTGTGAAGATTTTTAGAAATTTCACAAGTTGAAATCATGAGCCAATTGAAGCTAGACAACCATGGAAAACCTGGAAGCACTGGACGGAGACACTCCTGGAGTTCTAGTGAGAAGTCGTTACCAGTGGAGTTCAACCAGGTCTGTTGTGAGATAGGAACTCACTGAAGACAATGGTGTACGGTGGCGCAAATTCATGGATTAGTTGAAGTTAAACATTAACACCGTTAGATGCCGGCTCAGTGGTCTAATGATTAAGTGCTCGCGCGCGAAGCCAGTAGGTCCTGGGTTCGAATCCCGCGAGGGGCGGGTTCGTGGATGCGCACTGCTGAGGAGTCACATACTAGGACGAAACGGCCGTCCAATGCTTCCAGGTTTTCCATGGTGGTCTAGCTTCAATTGGCTCATGATTTCAACTTGTGACATTTGATTATCTCCACTCGTGTTCTCAACACTCAAAAACAAATGCAGGAGAAAACGACCAGTGTAGCAGTAGCCTCAGCAGCAGTAGGTCTCAATATACACAAAGGGAAAATTAGGATTCTCCGATACAACACAGCATGCACCAATCGAATTACACTTGAAGGAGAAGATTTGAAAAATGCAAATACATTCACATATCTGGACAGCATCATTGATGTGCACAGTGGATCTCATGCAGATGTGAAGGAACGGATCGGAAAAGCAAGAGCAGCATATTTACAACTGAGGAACATCTGGAACTCAAAACAACTGTCTGTCAATCAACACTAAAATCAGAATTTTCAATACAAATATCAACACAGTTCCACTGTATGGGGTGGAAACCTGGAGGAATACGAAAACTATCATCCAGAATATACAAATGTTCATTAACAGTTGTCTACACAAAACACTTCGGATCCGTTGGTCAGATATTATCATTAACAACCTGTTGTGGGAGAGAACAAACCAGATCCCAGAGGAGGAAGAAATCAGGAAGAATTGCTGGATGTGGATAGGACACATATTGAGGAAAGCACCCAACTTCGTTACATGACAAGCCCTCACATGGAATCCTGAAGGCCAAAGGAGAAGAGGAAGAACAAAGAACACCTTTTGCCGAGAAATGGAGACAGACATGAGAAGAATGAATAACAATTGGATGGAACTAGAAGGGAAGACCCAGTACAGAGTGTTTTGGAGAATGCTGGTCGGTGGCCTATGCTCCATTGGTAGTAACAGTCTTAAGTAAGTAAGTAAGTATGCAACTTGTGTTCTCATTCACTATATCAGAAAGAGACAATACTTAATAGACCATTTATTGTTAAATCATTTATTATAAAAACGTTTAATGGTATCATTTGACGAGGTAAGTGTTGCTACATTTGAATTCATACTTGATGATAATGATGATGGTGATGAAAAGATTCGCGATTGTGATATTTCAATAGTATTTTGTAATTTATCAACTGTTTTTCTATTTAAATAAGCACCAATTAATAATTCATAAAATATTGCACCAATAATAGAACCAATATATGGTGCTACAATTGGAATCCAAAAATAATAATGATCTTTTTTGAATGCATCCAAACTTAATTCTATGAAGAAGAAGAAGAAGAAACAAGGTAGATTATAAAACCGTAGAGATGCCAGAATTATAAAAGGTTAACAAACATATACTTTGTAATCAAAGGCTTTCAAATGCCCGAATACAGCCTAGGGTGCGGTGTGTTGGTTCTTCCTCTCGAAATGCTCTCACATAGCCGCCACGAAATTCCTACTTACTACCTTCTTGTAGCATTACTGTTGTTTACAAAATTGAGAAGACGAAAAGCGAATGTACAGAACAGGCTTTCACCGGGTTGATAGATATGGAGGATCTACCTAGGGCAGTTGGAAAACTCTGATTCCGAAACAATGATGAGCATGGGCTCGAGGGTCCCGAAGGAACAAATAGTGTATGAACCAATTATTCGTCACCGGCTATCATGGGACTACATCTACTGATGTTGCTCCACTGCTTTGAAGATCAGACCTTTAGGTCGAACGCTCGGGTTGTGTTCCCCTAAGAACACACCCTGATTTGGTCTGGATACTCGGGCAGTAGCCCAGTCCTCACACAAATCGAATGATTTATGTGCCGTGTATCTATTTGGTGCCTTCTTGCACCGATATTTGTGTTTAAATAAATAAATAAATAAACTGTAATCAGAGAGGGGGGGTTATGGAGACTGCAGTAATTTAATAATTAAATTCATGAGTCAATTAAAGCTAGGCCATCATGGAAAGTCTGGAAACATTGGAAGGCAATTTCATCCTAGTATGGGACTCCTCATCAGTGCGCATCCCCGATCCCGAATCCAAGACCTATATTTTATATTAAGCATTATTAGTCTTCATCATGAACTGACTTTAGTTAGATAACTATTTAAGTTAAGAAAGAAATAGAAAAACAGGTTTTTCGTCCCACAATATGAACTTTTACAAATAAGAACCCATAGTCCCATAGAGGATAAAACCTAAGAAATTGTTTTCGCAACATAAACGCTTTATACGTTGAAACTATTGAGCTATCATTTGATGATTTACATATGTAACTTCAAATAATTCACAGCATTGTACAAATCAACCTACTGTGGGAAAGAACAAACCAGATCCCAGAGGAGGAAGAAATCAGGAAGAATTGCTGGATGTGGATAGGACACATATTGAGGAAAGCACCCAACTGCGTCACAAGACAAGCCCTCACATGGAATCCTGAAGGCCAAAGGAGAAGAGGAAGAACAAAGAACACCTTTTGCCGAGAAATGGAGACAGACATGAGAAGAATGAATAACAATTGGATGGAACTAGAAGGGAAGACCCAGTACAGAGTGTTTTGGAGAATGCTGGTCGGCGGCCTATGCTCCATTAAGAGTAACAGGCGAAAGTAAGTAAGCAAAGTAAGTATTGTACAAATACCTTTGTATATCTCGTAACTGACATAGTTATACTTTACTAATCATCATCGTTTCACCTTAAAAACTATGGTAGAATCTTCTAGAAATCAACCCAATACTACAATCATATAGTTACCTAATTCAACTTGGTTAACAACAATTGTTTAATTTAAATCAATATATTCTTTAAATTATGTAATTCAATAATCTATACAAACATCCTGTAACTATATATATCATTTACTGATGAATGATATTTCTCTGTGGTGTCAGTTAATTTATTGATTTTGTAAACTATGTACACAATACTAGATTATTGATTAATTTCACAGGTTGAAATCATGAGTCAATTGAAGCTAGACCATCATGGAAAACCTGGAAGCACTAGACGGCCGTTCCGTCCTAGTATGTGACTCCTCAGCAGAGCGCATCCACAACCCTGCACCCCGCGAGGTTCGAACCCAGGACGCGAACCCATCCTGATATTGATTAATTATTAGTTCCGTTTACTCAAATTTATTGATTAACCGAATATGGAATATGTTATGTAATTTATGATTATTATTGATATTACTGAAGATGTAGTCCAATTAGTAAGTGATGAATAAATCAGTCTTCTTCTACAATCATGCTTTTCTCCCTGAATTCTTTATCCGTCGTGATGAATAACGAATGAAAATAGTTGCATTATGGTGTATGTTATTGATGTCGACAGATATAAGTGAAACCTTTTGTGTCAGAAGGTTAAAAATAAGATCAAAGACAAGAGACTAAGAACAAAGAATGATCTGTATGGTAACCAAGGGATAACCTGGTCTGAGACGATTGATTGACATGTATTGTATAGTTCTTAGATTTTACTAAGACATTCTGTAATTTTACGTTTAAATATATCCGATTGTTCTCACTTGTCTTCTTTTTTGTTCACCACAGTTTCAGTAGCCGAACTCAGCGCTTAACTCAAATCATAACCTTGATAAATCAGTCTTGTTCTAATTTATTTCAATAATAATTCATAAATGGAATATTTTCATAATCTAACTTCATCTACAACACAGAAAACTCACAATAAATAATGGATCCAAGGTAGAAAAGGAATCATACTATTATTTCTTTTCTTGAATGTATCCCCAAAAGTTCATACAAATAGTTGAATACTCTTTTATTATCAACAGCTTACTCATTAATTTGGTTCATAAAATGTAAATCACGAAAGTAATGACACATAGAGTTATACTACTGACAAGTATAATAAGTAGTACATTTTATAACTCCCAATTTTATTCAAATGTCTTTTATTATTTAGTTAATTTGATGTTAAACAATATTGTCTAAATCACTAAGTTATTACATATATTTCAATCCTACGGGATATCATGGATAAGCAATTCATTGAAATCACTTACTACAAATTTAGAAATGTTCAACTTGATAGTTGAATTCATGAGTCAATTGAAGTTAGACCACCATGGAAAACGTGGGAGCACTGTGTGTATCCATTATCCCACCTCGAGAAATTCGAACTCAAGACCTATCGGTCTCGCGCGCGAGCGCTTAACCACTTGACCACTGAGCTTGCATCCAACGGTTTTAATGCCTAACTTTAATCAATCCACGAAGTTGCTCCACCGTCCACCATTGTCATCATTGAATTACTATCTCACAACAGACCCGGTTGAACTTCACTGGTCACGACATATGATGATTATAATCAGAAATGGGTTTCTAGAATATTATAGTAATTTAGTAGTTGAATTCATGAATCAATCGAAGCTAAACCTTCATGGAAAACCTGGAAGCACTGACGGCTATTTCGTCCATGAACGTTGTTGTTTGCTTGATAATGACTGATTTAAGCTTTTGTTTCAATAAAAGGCTATTTGATTCACCTCTAAATGATAAAGTGATATAGACAGGCTTTTTCTCTGTCAAAGCTATAATAGATCTCACTGTACCATGAACTTTTCATCTATTTATGAATTTAAGAGGATAGTCATTTTCCATTAATGTTTTATGTAGCAACCTGACATTATTTGTTGGGTCATTTGTACAAATACGATTAGGCCTGTTAAATAGGCATCTTATCAAACCCTAATTGTATTGCACGGAACAATAAATATGATAGCTAAGGTATTGACCTATTCATGTTGATTTGAGCCATCTCCTCCATCTACTGAGAAGTATATCTAAGAAAGGGAAGCTGGTTGTTCTTCATCACTTCACATGAAAGACTAATATGGTTTTGGAGGGTGTTAAGTTTATTCTATAAAAATTTGATATATCAACATAGTTCTGATAATTTGCGTCTTCTTATTACACTAGTGAAATTTATTAAAGGGATTAATTGCTTTAAATTTCTAATATTTTCATCATAACTTTTCTGCATATATATATTATTTCTGATCTTCCACATTGTCCGGACGTTCTGTGTACCTATAAGAATTGTTGCTCTGGTTGTCAGAAGGAGCATCGGCCTCGTGACTTACGAAGGAAATCGGCTTTCACCATCAGGCATCATAACTCTTCTTAATGAAGACATTCTAACTCTCAGGGTAGTGTCGAAATGGTTTGGATTGTTTTTTCTAGTTAGCGTTTTTTTAGCGAGTTAGTTTTATACGAGATGGGATCGGTAACCCCATGCCCAACCCTCCTTCTTTATTGAGGCTTGGGATCGGCAGTAACTCTAGAAGAGCTACAGGCGAATAAAGATAACTAGTGTGGCAGCAGATTCTGTATCAGTAGGCCTCGATATACACAAAAGAAAAAGCAACATCTTCAAATTCAACACAAAAAACATCAACCCAGTCACACCTGATTGCGAAGCTGTGGAAGATATGGAATCGCTCACGTACGTGGGAAGCATCATCGATGAACAGGGAGGATCGGATGCAAAAGTAAAGACGAGAATCGGAAAAGCAAAGACAGCATTCCTACAATTGAAGAACATATGGAACTCAAAACAATTGTCTGTCAACCAATATCAAAGTCACAATCCTCAATACGAACGTCAACATAGTTAGTTCTACTGTTCAGAGCTGAAACTCGGGCAACTATTACAACCATCATCAAAAAGGTACAAGTATCTTTACATAGGTGTCTACGTAAGATACTCAACATCCATTGACCGGAAACCATCATCAACAACCCACTGTGAAAGAGAACAAACCAGATTCCAGTTGAATAGAAGATTAGGAAAATACGATGGAAATGGATAGGATATACGTTACGCAAATCATCAAACTACATCACGAAGCAATACCTAACTTGGAATCCTGAAGAGAAGCGGAAAAGAGGAAGGCCAAAGAACACATTACGTCAGAAAATAGAATTAGATATGAAAAAGGACGAATAACAACTGTAAAAAGCTTGAAAGGATCACTCAGGACAAAGTTGGATGGAAAGTGCTGGTAGTTGGCCTATGCTCCTTCAGACGTAAGTAGGTAATACATATATTGAATTGAATAGCCAAAGTAAACCAAAAAACAAAACAATATTCACTTACCACATAATGCAATTGTTATTCTTGGACCTAAATCACGTATTGGATTAATTGATGTACCAGCATTCATTGATAAGGATGTAATTCGTCCAGATGTAAATAGAATTATATAAATTAATCGATAATTTTTTTGTATTTTATCATTTCTTTCATCTCTTATTAATAAAATAAATATTGTTGTCATGATAGTTAATAATAAACGATCAATAAAACATATTAAATGTGATCCATTAGGTGTTATTATAAATTGATTTAATATAATCAATTTTATGTTGTCATGGATACTAATATAATTATAATAATATATATAATATATCATTAAACTTGATAATAATGAACTAATTAATTGTATAATTGTTAATGGAATTACATAATGAAATGATAATTTATTAATCAATGCTAATGATAATGTAATCGATGGATTCATTAAACTATTATAACCTAATGGTTGAGTTATAATTTGTGATAATAATAATGCAATTGACCAACCAATTGATATATTAATATAATATAAATTATATTTTAATGTATTATGTATCATACTACTTAATCCAATTGTAATTAATATAAATGTACCAATAAATTCACTAAGACAAACATTTAATAAATGTTTATTATGAATAAAAGAAAATTTATGTTTTATTTTATATAATAAATAGATATAGTTGTCATGGAGATTAACTTTATACAATTTCATGAGTGAATAAAAATTGTACTATAAGTGCTATATGAATTATTATTAATCATATTAAAAAAATCATGTGGGGGTGTTCTTAATTTCTTTTTGATGATAATTGGTTTATTTATAATGGATTTGTGTCAATATTTATTCCACTGAATCAATAAATGTGTAATAGATATTATGTAATTCAAGGACTGTTATGTGATTGGTTTGTAGTGGCATTAAACCATAACCACACAATTCTCACAGCTGAACACAAGACTACTCGGAAAATAGATATTCAATATTTAACGCGGAGAAATACCTAACGATGGAAAAGGCGGGAACAATTAATTGGATGAATTGGAGTTGATTGGATGACATGTCTCGATCATGCAGGCGTGGTCCTTGCGGAATGTTACCTTATATCTTTTATTCATATTAAATGTATTGTTCCTTCTCTAGCCTAACCTTGTTCTACATTATGTATTGGTTTTACTCTTTTCCACTTCCCTTTAGGATTCCATGTTGGGGATTTCTGTGATGTATATCCCATCCATTTCCATTGTATTTTCCCAATTTCTTCTTCAGCTGGAAGCTGCTTCCTTCTCCCCCACAATAAGCTGTTGTTGATTGATCCGGTCAATGGATGTTAAGTAACTTACGTAGACACCTATGTATAGATACTAGTACCTTTTTGATGATGGTTGTAATAGTTGCCCGAGTTTCAGCTCTGTACAGTAGAACTAACTATGTTGACGTTCGTACTGAGGATTGTGACTTTGATATTGGTTGACAGACAGTTGCTTTGAGTTCCATATTTCCCTCAATTCTAAGGATGCGTCCGTTAATGATAGTTGGTGCCCAATGACTATTACTATCTGTCCTGTAGATAACCTATTAATGATGTTCATTCCTCATCTACGACAGATACAAAAGTTTGTTTTTTTCTATAAGTTAAAGTATGAAGATGGATGCATCAGGAAAATGAACGCAACTTCATGCTGACGGTGCAGTGTGTTGGTCCTATCTCTCGTAATGCTCTCATATGGCCACACACATACAATCACCGCCACGGAATTCCTACTTACTGCCTTCTCGCACCACAGGTGTTGTTTACGAAATTAAGAGGACGAAAATTGAATGTCCAGTGCTTTAATCGGGTCATTGGGTACGGAGGATCAGCCTAGGGGAGTTCGAAAACCCTGATTCCAAACTAGTGAAGTACAATAGCTCCAGGATCCTGAGAGAACAAATGGTGTGTGAAAAGATTGTTCGTCACCGGCTACCATGGAACTGTATCTTCTTAAGATGCTCCACTGCCTTGTACATTAGACTTTTAAGTCAAAGCCTCTGGGTGTGGTCCCCTAAGAAAACCACCCGGTTCGGTGGTTACTATAATAATCTGCATAAAATCCAAGGGACAAATATTCAAAAACGAACATTTAGTTATATAAATTGGAATTCCTATTGTAGTCAACGAGAATACAAATGGTAACAATCGAATGTATTTGAATACAAAACTACAGAACAGCTTATTAAAATCTGAGAACCACACAGTGAATACTTCATTTGCAAAATGTCAATCAATCGTCTCAGACTTTATTGTTTCTTTGTTCCTCCAGCAATCATTCTCTGTCCTGGTTCTCTTTTCACTGATCTTCTTAACCTTATGTTGCCATATGTTTCACCTTCGATTGTTTCTAGAAGTTAATGTATGCAGATGAATAAATCAAGAAAATGAAAGTGACTTCATGGTCATGGGGTGTATATAAATCGAAAATACTGTTTATGCAACCATATCAAGACAACATGTACATCACCGATCATATTATAGTTTATTTTATTAAGTAAAACACAATTTGTCCCTTAAGAGACAGTGGATTGATAAAAACCTGCCTACTTGAATATCTAAGCTACGTGTTCTTGCTATCTGGACATTTCAACAAATTATCTTTTTTTATTTGTTTTAACACATCAGAATGCTTATTAGTCTCAAGACCTATTCAGTCGAGATTATAAAAAGTTTACCACCTTTCGGTGTAAAGTTACAAAAGAGCCTAATCAGATACACCGTAGTTGCTTGCAATATTCAGAGGAAAGAATGTACATTAACTTAATGTTTATTAACTGGACTGCTAACACTTAACTGGAGATCACTCAATCTTTATCGTCAATAGTATTTTGTTGTAATATTCGCTAAGGTTGGGGTTGAGTTATTACTAAGTCTAAGGTTTAGGTTAAGAATACAGTGTAGATTTAGTATTGGAATTAGAATAACAAGTGATATTGGCTAAAATTAAAAGTTTCGGTGTATAAAAACTGATCTTATATCCTAACCCTGATCTTTTACAGTTAAGGATGTATAATCAGTCTAATAATTTCATTAGTCAAGTACCAGCAATATCATATAAACACCTATAACTAGTTTAAATAACTAGTTTCCGAAGTTCTAGTAAGAATCCGTGACCAGGGGATTTCAACCGCGTCTTTAGCGGCCCGTTGTTTCCGACTCCATTTTAGATTGTACGGGTGAGACTCTAATTTAAGGACGACCTTTGAACGAATCTTAAGTGACCTTGACAATTATTAGCCAATCAGAGGAAAGTTAGTATAAAGTGAAAATATATTCTAAGAAAGTAATGAATTACAATGGATATTCTTCTTTTACATGATTTAAAAACTTGTTAAGGTTTGATTAAGGTTCAGAGGTTCTGAATTCACAATGCATATAGAATAGAAACTCGTCTATTGGGTTAGAGTTAGGTTTACGTGTAAGGTTAGGGTTAGGTGAGGGTTAAGGTTTAGGGTTAGTTGAGGGTTTAGGGTTAAGGTTAGGGTTTAGGGTTAGTTAGGGTTGGGGTTAGGTGAGGGTTAGAGTTAGGTGAGGGTTTAGGGTTAAGGTTAGGGTTAAGGTTTAGGGTTAGTTGAGGGTTAAGGTTTAGGGTTAGGGTTAAGTGAGGGTTTAAGGTTAGGGTTTAGGGTTAGGTGGGGGTTTAGAGTTAAGGTTAAGGGTTAGGGTTAGTTGAGGGTTTAGGGTTAAGGTTAGGGTTTAGGGTTAGTTAGGGTTGGGGTTAGGTGAGGGTTAGAGTTAGGTGAGGGTTTAGGGTTAAGGTTAGGGTTAAAGTTTAGGGTTAGTTGAGGGTTAAGGTTTAGGGTTAGGGTTAGGTGAGGGTTTAAGGTTAGGGTTTAGGGTTAGGTGAGGGTTTAGGGTTAATGTCAGTTTTGGGTTAAGGTTTAGGGTTAGAGTTAGATGAGGGGTAAGGTTAGGGTTAGGGTTAGGTGAGGGTTAAGGTTAGGGTTAGGGTGCTAACATACGAGTATTTAAATCATGTTAAAGAAAAATATCCACTGTAATTTATTGCTTACTTTTAATATATTTCTACTTTATGCTGTCTTCTGATTGACTAATAATTGAAATTGCTCAAACGCTTCTGACTGACTCGTCCCTAAATTAGAGTCTCGCCGTCCTATCTGTTGTAACCTCTCATTAATCACCTACTCTCTAAAATCCACTGTGAACCGATCGTATGTTAGCAGCGCGTGTTGGCGCCTTGACCTTGAAATTGCTTAAACGCTTCTGATTGGCTCGTCCCTAAATTATAGTCTCGCCGCGAATAATTGACAAGGTCAAAATATGACTCAAGTAGAACGAATAGAATGGAATGTCCAGAAACTAGAATAAGATATATTATGAGCTAAAACTAATGACTAACACTACACGTCCAGCGTGAAGACGCTACCCACTGAAGACAATGACATATGGTCACATAATATCGTTGACCAGACATCATCAGCAACAGCCTACTGTGGAAGAGATTGAACTAACTTCTAGACGAGGAATAAATTAGGGAAAGACGCTAGAAGTGGGTGAGACATACATTTCGGAAGTCATGGATCTGCATCATGAGGCGAGTCCTAACTTGGAATCTTGAAGGAAAACGGACATGTGGAAGGGCAAAGGACACTCTGTGTCTGAAATTGGAAGCAAACATGAAAAGTTGAGTAGAATTTAGGGAAGGGGTGCCTAGGACAGATAGAAAATGCTGGCAGGTGGCCTCTGCTCCTCCATGATGGGTAACAGGCGTAAGTAAGTATAAGTAAAAATAGTCACAATTATTTTGCAATATTTTTCGCCAAACATTTTATATGAAGAAAAGTTTTTAGAGGGAACATTGTTTTACCAACTTGTTTCATAAATAGTTGTTATTCGACACTTTTTCACAACACTTCAATATATCTCAAGTAATGTCAAGTTTCGCCAGATAATATTAGTATTTTAAGTAAAAAGAGGAAATTTAAACGACAAAATGTAACCGTCCATTAGTAAAATATCGCTACTTAGTAATCCATAGAATCAAATGTGGTGTTTGAAGACTTTTAACAGTATGACTGTATTAATCTAACATTTACAGCGTATAAAGAGTGGAATAGGCCATAATGTTTACGGTTTCATCGACAATATTGTCCGAAAATGGAATTAAAGTCGCTTCTTAAGATAAATTAAAGCACATCATCAAACATCGTACCATAAATCCTAAAAAAAAACATAATGACTTAGATAAGCAAACCAATAAATAATTATTTCTGTAGGAAAATCGTAAAATGTTTGAATATATCAGCGAGATCATAGCAGAATTATGTTATATTTGGTAAAGCTGAAACAAAATAGTGATTGGAGGTGGTCGACAGAAAACTCTCAACTCTATTTCCATGCTATTTGGCACCCGTCAGTAAGGTGTACCTGTACTGTGTCACCCGGCTTCACAATCAGAGACGATACCAACTTGGTCGTTAGGATTCGACCTACACTAACAAGGACTTGACACATATGATACTGATCACCACACAGTAATCAATCAATTGTAAATAAATCTCACTCTTACAGAAGGTTAGCCACGGCCTCGATAGCCCATTGGTAACGGCTCTGACTGTAAAGCTGACTGACACAGGATCGAACTCGTCAGGGTGCATCAGTTTCATCAAGATTACAAGTACATCTTACTAACGAGTGCTAAGTAGCAAGAAACCTAGGTCACCCAGAGTTTCGTGTTGACTACCTCCAACCATCATATCATCTCAACATAATACACGAAATTTCGAGTCACCTAAACTAGTGACCACACTATAACTTGGTTAATCCTCACTAAGAAGGACCTGGCATACATAATATTGATCACCGTCCAGTGATCAACCAATTGTGAGCAGAGTTATTATTACTAGTATTACTATCATTACTATATATATATATATATATATATATATATATATATATATATATATATATATATATATATATATATTGTAATGAAGTCAATAAAATCAACTTTTACAGATTCGCACATAAAGAATAAACGTTGATTACATAATTCCATTTACAAAAAACCAATGTAGAATAGAATAATGTTTTGTATGCACATGTACCCACCTACAATTTGGATCAATATATACAACCATTTAAAAAAAAAGGTAAGTAAATGTTAAAAACAATTAAAGTCGTGCATACTATAATCGTCACTACATCATCATCATCATCATCATCATCATCATCATTATCACCATCATCATCATAGGAGTAATTATGTCAAATAATAATGAATCAATCTATCAAATACGTTATAATGCATTTATTAAACAATTAACAAATTATATTAATTTAACTAAATGGCCATTATTATGTAATTGTATTAATGAATTTATTGGTACAACAATATTTATTATATTTGGTTTAGGTGTTATGATTCAAACAAATATTCATTCAATAAATGATAAAAATATTGGACAATATTTATCTATATCAACGGGTTGGGGTATAGCTAAAATTATTGGTTTATTAATATCAACTAATAGTTGTGGTGGTGGTGGTGATAGTGATGGTAACGATCATGATAGTAGTAACCATGGTAATCAATCAGGTTTATTAAATCCATCGATTACATTTGCATATTGTTTAATTGGTAAATTATCATTTCGTTATCTTATCCCATATAGTATAGTACAATTATTAGGATCAATATTTGGTACATTTATTATTATTTGTATTTATTGGGAAAATATACAATTATATGCTAAATTATATTCCTATGGTAAATTAGAAATGAATTATACTGGTTCATTATTAGTCAATATACCTAATGTATCTCATCAATTATGTTTATTAGATTATATTATATCCAATACAATCTATTCATGGATTATATTAATCATTAATAATAATCATAATTTATCATATGAATTCCAATTAATTTATATTGGATTATTATTCACTGGTATTATTGGATCATTATCATTAAATATTGGTATTGGATTAAATCCAGCTAGTGATTTAGGTGCAAGAATAACAATATCATTATGTGGTAAATGATTGATTATATAATATGTATATATTTCTTTTACTATACAAATATATATATTTCTATGGTGAGATGATCTTTGTATATGACGTTGAAATGATCTTGAGGATATCCATTTGGAAACTAGGACTGAATAATGATTATAAATCAGTTTGTTGAAGAATAAGGATTATGATTTATAATGGATGATTTGAATTATTTAGCCAAGTGGATCAATCCAAGAAATGTTATTTTATATCTGTTTAGTATTTCCACACATTGTAGTCTTGTTAGGTGAGACTATAATTTATGAACGACATTTAAGTGATGCTAAAACGACAATGAGGATGTTCACATACTAACTAAGATTAGATAATGATTATAAACCAATTTGAGAAATTAGAATAATGATGAGTAAGCTTAGGGATTAGATTTAGGGTCTTCATCACGAGCTGAAATCAGCTATTGTGCTAAAATGATATTTAACCAAGTGGATGAATGAATTTTATGCCAAAATCGAAGATCTGTTATTTTATATCTGACTGATTCGTCCATAAATTACAGTCTTACCATTTATTTTATAGTTAAGAGTGAAATTCAGGATGTGTATTACGTGATATTTGAAATTTGTTAATTGGATGATCTTATATCCGAGTGTTACTATTCACAATGAGATTGGAACTCAATGTGTTAAGCTTCAAACTTTGATGTTGTTCATGCCCTGAAACTGAACCAATGTAGTTTTAAATTTTATACTTATTATGCAAATTAGTTGCTATTTGGATTCAGTTGTTTAATGAATAAAGCGTTTGGTATTTGATGCAAAAAACATTGGATTCTAGCTTTGATGTAAACATTAACACTGGAATGTTAGTATAACCGTCTGAAGATTCCTCAATATAACGAAAAGAGAGCTCAAATAAACCGAAGCATCTAAATGAGTTTCATCTGTTAGAGAATATTAATTACGTTGTGTAAAGTTTATTAATGATGGCTAGAAGTGTGGTATGGGTGGGGATATTATCGAAATGAACTACATGACATCTTCAATTAAAATATGAAAGCAATTAGATTGACATTGTTATTTTCATGTTAACTGTATACTCATCATATCCAATATAGCTTAAACTCTTCGGGTTTATTTGTCAGAATTGTTGATTAGTTAGTGATATTTCAGTATCATTAGTTTTTTAATTCAAGTCCTCGGTGCTTGAATATACTAAACAAGAAACCCTGGTTGACATAGATTTTTCACCAGCTAGAGCTCGTTAGTATGGTGTGCTTCCAACCTTAGAGGGACTGTCGTTTCTTGTATGATTCATGCCCACCTTACTCAATTTCACAGTCTAAGATATTACCACTGAACTATTTGGATTCTAACTGAATTCCTACAAGACTAAGGTGTATTTACAACTGATGTCATTTTAAGCAAAGATGGATAGTGGCTATCAGTGCAATCCACGACGCGCGTTTCGTCCTGTTGAAAAGATACAAGTAATACAACACCAAGTGAATTTAAACTTCACCCCACTGCATAAGCAGGTGGGTGTTAGCACTCAATAGCTAAGTAGATAACCGATGATGTTTGAAGCGAAAGGTACTTGGTTCGAGTCTCACAGTCGACATCAACTCTGAGATGCAGGTACATCCAGCTGACGAGTCACAAAGAGGACAAAACGCGCGTCAAACTAGATTCCACTGCTAGCCACTATCGATCTTTACTTAAAAATCTTGTGACTTAAGACTATATCGAGGTAATTAGCGCAAGATGCACATATGCCAACAAGAGATTGATCAATTATAGTCCTAAATAACAATGGGAAGATACAAGTAAAACAACACCACATTTTATTTTATATTTACTAATCAATTTAGTTTGAATTTGATTTGTTATGGTTTTTTCCCAGATTCATTAACACCTTTCTTTTCTTTCTGTTGTTTTTCTTTTTTTTTGCTTCGATTTCATTGCCATGGTAACTCATCCTCCCTCCCCCCCACGAAAAAAGGTTGGGGTATTCAAGCATTCAAAGCAAATAATTATTATTTTTGGTTACCATTAATTGGACCATATATAGGAGCAATAATTGGTTCATTATTTTATGGATTTATTATTAGTTTACATACAATACCATCATCTGATATTGATCAATATAAAATACAAAATAATCAATGTACAATAATTAATTCAACTAGTAACTATTTACAAAGTAGTTTCATTGAAGAAATGAATGAAGATTTATTTAATATAACAGAAATTGATGATTGTTTTATAGATAGTGAAGAGACCATAGATTAAATAACCATTCACGACTATCTTTGTATTACATAATCATCATCACCATCATTATCCTCATCATAATCACCATGGTGATATTTCAAAATATCTCCCTTTTTTTTAATCATCCAGTCAATTTTATCAATATAACTTCATATATGATGGAAATAATCTTGTAGGATTTTCAAATAATAAACGTTGCCTAATTGGAAATCTTTCTTTTTCTTATATTTGAATGAACTGATATTGAAATGATTTCAGTCTGTAGAATAATATTTATGAAATAATGAGAAACTAATGCAGTCATCAGTAATAAGGATAATAGGTTGATGAACCTGTGTTAATCCTGACTGATTGCCTTCCAGGGAAGGTCCAGTTTCTCTTTAAGAAAACCTGGAAGCACTGGACGATTGTTTCGTCCTAGTATAGGACTTATCAGTGGTGGTGCGCATTCACGATCCTGCTTGCGGGATTTGAAGCCAGAACTTTCGGTCTTGCAAGCGAACTCTTAACCTCTAGACCACTGAACTGGCTGACATCCAATAGTGTTAATGTCTTACTTCAACCAATTCACGGAATTGTGCGACCATCTTTAATTGTCAGAGGTAGATACCTGTCTCTACCTAACACGGATTAGCTACACTAGTCATGGCTCCTCAATAGAACTCGGAGAATTACCTCACAAAGTTAATCACTAGTGTGCACATGGTAATTATCAGTGTAGGACGAAACGACCGTTCAGTACTTCCAGGTTATCAATGGTGGTCTAACATCAATCAGTTCATGATCTCAATCAAAAACTTAATAATCTCCACAACCCTACACTGATAATTGATTGAATGTCCTTGCGGAGAGAAGGAAACTATCCTACTAATAGCCTATAATCTCAGTGGTTAGTAAGCAGGGAGGAGAAAGACGACTTGGCAGAAAGACTGTCCTACTTGTTCGTACTAAATCTAAAACGCATATGAATAAATATATGACTAATGAGGCTGGCCAAAGAACATATTACGTCGCGAAATAGATGGATATATGAAAAGGATAAATAACAACTGGAAAGACCCGGAAAGGATTTCCCAGGACAGTGTTGGATGGAGAGTGATGATGGCTGGCCTATGCTCCGCCACGAGGAGTAGCAGACGTAAGCATGTAAGTAGTGAGGCTGGGAAAGATACAATTTCGACGGAGTTTTGTCCTCTGAGCTGGATGGCTTGATCGTGGAGCTTTCATCGTTCTTCGGAGCGACATCATCAGCACATCAGACAAAGCGGAGGTCATTTTCATCTTTGCCTACATAGACATCAATTAGAGGTCAAACGCCATGACATATCCTCACTTATATCAATTCATGTGGTCACCTGTGGACACACATTCGACTGGAAAAATGTTGAGATCTTGGATAGAGGCAATTCTAAAAACACCATAGAATTTTTAGAAGCTTATCACTCAGGTCAATCAGCAATCAACAAACACATTGAAGTCGATCCATTTTATCAACCAATCAGAGAAATTATGGACAAAAATAGGACCAAAAGTCAAATCAATGAAAGATACAACGAAAATAAAGAACTAAACAATAACAGGTTTAAGATCAACAAGAACCAATCACCATCGAGTTCTACAGGACAAGCTGTGAGTCAATTCTACCTGAAGTTTGTGCAGATAATGTCGTTCAGAAGAACGTTGAAAACTCCACGACTAAACCATTCAGGTCAGAGAACAAAATTTCATCAAAATCACTCATCTGAGCTATAAATCTTCTCCACCATCTCAAAGATACAATTATTTTCCAATTAGGAAATAAGAGTAAAACAATGAAATGCAAAGGTCACGTTCAACTTACAGTAGTTTTTAATATAAACGGATATGATAGTAATTTATGAATTAAATAAAAGCTTATGATAAATAGAATAAAATAAGAATTCGCTGTTTGTCACCACATATCTATTTCTCTCTTCACATTAATTCCTGACTAAACAGTTAGATTAGGCTTCTGGTATGTTTTATGAAGAACTCACTATGGAAGATGTATATTTACAATTGATTAATCACTGGGTGATGATCAATGACATGTATGTCAGGACCTTCTTATTGAAGATCAAATCATATCGACCAAGTTGTAATGTGCTCACTAGTCTGGATGACTCGACATTGAGTGCACTATGTTGAGATAAGATGGTGTTTGAAGGTAGTCAACAGAAAACCCTGAACCTAAGTTTTATACTACTTAGCACTCATCAGTAAGGTGTAGCTGTAATCTTGATGGAACTGATGTTTCCTACTGAATTCGGTCGCGTGTCACCCAGCTTCACAGTCAAAGACGTTAACACTGGGCTATCCGGACCGTGACTGACCTTCTGTCGGAGTGAGATGTATTTACAATTGATTGATCAGTGAGTGGTGATTAATTTCATTTATATCAAGTCCTTCTTAGTCCAGATCGAATCCTATCGACCACATATGTAAGCGTTCAATGAAGCGAGTAAATTGATATATTGTACAAACTAATTGATAATTCTTTTCGACTGGGTTATAGTAACGTTTGTTCGGTGATAATATCTTAATAACGGAATCAATCAATATTTATTTCAATCACTTTGATATTACCGAAATCAGAAGAACAACTTACCTTACAATAGATATCAATAGTTACCATCAATTTTGTCGGTAAGTAAATGAAGCTTAGTCTTTGCTGTATATAAAGAAAGAGATAAACTTTTTTGTTATTGTTAATGAGGCTAGTATAATCGAGCAACTTATAGTGGAAGTCATCGATTAATGAGTAGGTTTGTTGATTTGTACGCTTTGTGAAGGTTGAATCAACGACTTTTTGCTTATCTAATGTCATAATAATCTTTTGTTGATAAACTAATCGGTTTGACTGATAACAAATCACTGCGAAATGTTTGCTCCTTTAACTTCGAAGCCAGTCAAAATGAATATAAATGTCCTGTTGTTATACTGTCCTCTGCTCATCTCTATCTATCATGACTCAGAAACTCATAGGTTCATATGGATTATTTACTTTGTCAAACAGCACCACACACATTGTACGAACATTTCATGTATCTAAAGTAATGGTTACTCTAGTTGTTAGAAGGGGCATCAGCTTCGTAACTTCCGAAGAAACTCGGCTTTCACCATGAGGCGTCATAACTCTTTCAAATGAAAACCTTCTAACTCCCAGGGCAAGGTTTATATGATTTGAATTATTGTTTTTGGCTAGCGTTTTCTTAGCGAGTTAGTTTTCTACGAGATGAGGTCGTCTAATCTTACTTCTTTATGTCCGGTCTTGGGATCAACAGTAACCCCAGAAGGGCTCCAGGCGGAGTTGAGGGAAGCACCCAACTGCGTCATAAGGCAACCCCCCACTTAGAATCCCCAAAATACAATGAGAAGAGGAAAACCAAATAACACATTACTTCGAGAAAGGGAGACAGACATCAGAAGAATAACAGTTGGATGGAGCTAGAAAGGAAGGCTTAGGACAGAATGGGTTGGAGAAGGTTGGTCGACGGCCTATACTTCATTGGAAGTAAAAGGCGTAAGTAAGTAATAATACGAAACTAAGTAGTAGGTCCATAATCAATTAATGACAATTTAGAGATGGTTGAATGTTTAACAGCAACTATGGCTTACAATTAGGTAAACACAAATACTATAACCTTAGTGCTTAATAATTACTGTCTCTGATCTACTACCAGTCTCCACTAATATATTCAACTAAGCTAAATCTGAACATTTACACAATGAAATAATTGCTATGGTGATTTGATATTCTAATTACGTAACTAATTAATTTACTTACAATCAAATAGACCAACCAGTTAGATATGAATATAAAATCAGAGAAATACAATAATGCAGTGATCTATTCGAAGCCAACACTTGTCTATGCTCACTTCGAATCATCATTAACGATCAGGAATTCATTTTGCTTAAATTATTCAATCTAAGTAACAATTGCATAACAAATAATACTGTAGTGAAATCTCCAAGTGTGTGTGTGTGTGTGTGGGCCAATATCTTGAAAATAATGCGTCATCAAGCCAATATAATATGGTATGTAGTTGTTGTAGACATTATTTAAACAAGGGGTATTGTTTACATAATATAAAATTCATTGACAAAGTTGTAATACACAGGTAGACACGTATAGAGAGATTTGTGTTTTCAACTTTTTGTGTGAATAAGGTTTCTTATCAGTATAGGGGTTGTGGAGATTATTAAGTTTTTGATTGAGATCATGAAATGATGGATGTTAAACCACCGTTGAAGACCTGGAAGCACTGGACGGTTGTTTCTTCGTATGGTGCGACTCCTCAGTAGTATGCATCCACGATCCTGCTCACGGGATCCGATGGTGGTCTAACATCAATCGGTTCATAATCTCAATCAAAAGCTTATTAATCTTCACAACCCTATACTGATAATTACCATGTGCTCACTAATGATGAGCATTGTGAGGGAATTCTCGGAGTTTTAGTGAGAAGCCATGACTGGTGGAGCTAATCGGTGTCGGGTATAGACAGGTATCCACCTCAGTACAATGGAAGATGGTCGCGCGATTTCACGAATAAGTTTTCGTTTTAGATTATAATTATTTATTCCAAGTGGATACTTTTGGTATTTGATTATTTTCTCTTGAATATAATGAATGTGAAGAATATAACATTTCGTAAGAAAAATATATGAGTTGTCAAAGTTAAAATACAACAAGTCGTTCAAGAATACCTAAAAAAACGATCAAAGAGAATCGAAAGCCAGTGGTGGTGGTGGTGATGATAATTTTGAAATCGATTATCATACATTTCGGCCTAGATACTAAACATGACTCAGGTTCAGTAGAATTTCTTCATTATTCACTAGCAAAGCTTTCAGAACAGTCGTTCGACAAATCAATGTCGTTGTATAGTTTTATCATTCAGCTTTAAAGTTACATTGGTGGCTTTCTTTTTAATTGTGTTTTTTTTCAACACTTTTTAAATATCCTGTTTCTGCTTAAGCCAAATTGAAACTAG